AAAGTGTAGCCATTGTGGTTTACTCATTTATTAGCAGTAATCAAAGCCAACTCTTTCACCTGCTGGATGTGAAAACAGTGACAAGCAATTCTTTTTCCGATTAATGCATTTATGCTTTGATATGCCTGGTAGCTGTTGCTGTCTCTCTGGGTGTTGCTGTGGTAAATGAAATGCATTTAACACAAAAATGTGTCTAACAATTTCATCGAATCACAATTTCATTATAGACTCAATAAGCTTGTTGATATTTCCCTTATCTAAGTGAGTGTTTGTGCCAGTTCTGTTCAACATATGACTGAATTTTGACTTCAGTTTACATGATGTGTGGCATTTTGTGTGCATGTATGTTCTTGAATTAACTAAGTGTGGTTCTGTTTTTCCTTTGGAAGCAAATGAGCTGATTGTAGAGAGGCTTTGTCTGCCTGACTGAGCAGTAGATATGCAGAAACTGTCCTAATGCACCCTGCTCCCTTTCACACAAGCTCCCCTGAGAGCGTCGTCCTGTACACTTTCTAGAAGCAATAATTATTTCATCAACCTTTCATGTATTCCTTGATTGTGCTCTGGGATGCAGCTCCAGGAGATAGAAGGCTGAAATTCTGGAAGGCATTTGGCATCTAAATTACTGGGGGTAGGTCACTAATGAGCCAGAGAGCAGGTTCTCAAGTAAAGTGTGTATGCACACACACAAACACATATAGACATGCCAGTTTTGGTAATTGGCATACAAGAAAATCCTGTTTAAATCAGTGACACTAGAAATGGACAGGATGCAGAACAAAAGCACCCACCCCCTACAATCTTTCTGTCTCTTAAGGTCTTAAATTTGGCAGTTTTGCAAGTCTGTTCTAATCAGGATTTTATTTCAGTCACACAAGAGTGTCTGGCAATGGAATTAGCAGGAGCAATTCTTCAAATATTCGCAAAGCTTTAGTGTGTGAGGTTTGCTGTGTTTAACGAGATCCTCTGTATGTGTGTGAGATTAAAGGTCCAGAAAGATGTTTCACGATTCTGTGCACAATGGGATGATATGCTGAGAAGTGAAGCCATTGAATGGGTTAAAATTTTATCATTTCAGCTTGTTTGTGAAGATGATTGCGGACACCAGTTGAAGTCAGTCTGTGTAGTTGCAAGTGCATACAGTGCCCCTGCTGGTTAAATGTAAACCTGATCATTCTTATCAAATGAATACATTACAAATACAATGTTTGGCTAGTCAAATGCCACTTAAATGTACTTTGCAATTTAATTTACATTTGTATATAGATTGTTGATTTTATTTCTGCCTCAGTTCTGATTCAATGTGTATTTAGTTGAAGTGGAACCACATCTAATTATTTATTGTTTGTGTCCATATTTTTCTAATTGTGCATTTTAGTGAAAAAGAAATTGATGCAAAGTATTTTGGAATATTTAAAGCAGATTTACAGTTACTCACAGATTAATCCTGTAAATGATTTAAAAAATATTTTGTACATTAGTTTCTTAAAATGTGATTAAATGGATCATAATACATAAGAACATCAGAAAGGTTACAAATAAAAAGAGGCCACTTGGACCATCTTGCAGTAGTAGCTAATTGACCTGGACATTTCATCCTACATTTGTTTTAGAAAACCTAGAGCATCGGCTTAAACATGGTTGGATAGACTCCCACAAGCCTTTGTGTACAAAATACTGTTGTTCTTAGTTTTAAATGCATTTCCCTGTAAGTTCCTCTTGTGTTTCGCTGTTGATGTTGAAGAACTCCCAACAGGTTGATTTTATCAGAGCCTTGAGCTGAATACTCATGTTCAAGTCTGAATACTAGAATCATGTTGCACATAGTCTTCTCTGATGAAGACAATAAAAAGGTCAGTTCTCTTGTAAATATAGTATGTTCCTTTGAGGCTATAAATGTGTTCGGTTGCTCTTTGTTGGACCAGAGCAGTGACATTTTTTAATATTGTCCACTTCTTTTTGAATTTGCTTGACACCTTTCACCATATTTCCTGATCATCATATTTTGATTTTACTTACTATAGCCAAATCTGTATAGAGGTCATATGAATTATAAAGAGCAATGGTCCTCACACAGATCCCTGTGGTACATTTTGTTAACTTTGACAGCCTATGGACAGCAGTAAAATATCATCATTGTATGGAGATTTGTTTATCTTTTTTTCGCTTAATATTATTTAATATAATAATAATAATTAATAATTGCTAACACTTATATAGCACTTTTTTGGACACTCCACTCAAAGCGCTTTACAGGTAATGGGAACTCCCCTCCACCACCACCAATGTGCAGCATCCATGTGGATGATGCGATGGCAGCCATAGTGCACCAGAACGCTCATCACACATCAGCTATTAGTGGAGAGAAGAACAGAGTAATGAACACTTATTTAACTATTAAAGTTTTCTTAGAGTGTTCTTTTCTATTCTTTTTTTAACCTTGCTTGAGTTTTAACTTTCTTTCTCCTATTTAGTTGGAAATTCTTTGTATGCAATCCACTGTGCTGTTACATCTCTCCATTGTTCTATTAATTGGATATGAAACTGAACAGTGCATGCAAACCAGGCTTTGGGAAGTACTTTTGAAGACAGATGCAATATGCTGCAAGTTACCTGATTTATTTGTAAAATTTGAAGTTCTGTAAAATAAGGATGATGAAACTTTATCATGGTTGTTTTTTTCATGCAAAAAAAAAACTTTAAATGTGTTCTGAAGGTGCTAGTGCATTTCCTAATTGACATGTATCTATGGATACATGTAGGGTTTCATTTGCCATGATTTTTTTCTCTGTAGACCCTTTTTAGAGCATTAGTATATCTGTGATTTTGCTTTATTTCTTAATCATTCCCTCTATCATACCTATAAGAATTCAAAACAAAATGCTCATTATGGTAAGTATTTAATATTCTGAGAATCATACAAGCTAAAGGGTAACTGCCTACTGAAGAAAGGTTGCTCAACACTACAATAGCTGGCAGTGTTTGCTTGAGCATGACATCTTGACTCACTCAATTGATTGTGTGGCCATTATGACTTGACCACCATTTCCTTCAGCAGGATAGTGTTTTTTCTTAATTACATTGTCTGACCGCACTGTGATCTAGTGTATATCTTATGATGCACATTGTTATACACCCACATTGTGGTTTCCTAACTGAAATTTGCACAACTATTAAGGTGCTTTCTCTAAATAATTAAAAAAGGGACTACCACAGCCCACCTCCACACACATTCAGCCTCTGTAAGCCAAAGAGAGAGTACATCCTTCATCCGACTTTACAAGACCCATTATTCTTCCATATTTAATGTATGTAACAGAATTATTATATTATTTATTATTTAGCATAAATCCAGCTTCTATGCAGTTTTCTGGAAGCCCAAGTAGCTCATGATTTGTGGAATTATTCATGTATTTCTGTATTTTCAAAGACTTGAACAAGAAAGGCCAGAGATGCAGCCTAGAGTCTGGTCTCCTGTAGTCTTTTGCTCAGCATTTTCATTAGTACTCTTCAGAGGTGCGCTAAACAGGATGGAGGCACTATGTCACAAAAGGCAATATTAATGTTCAAAAGTCTTATATAATCTGCCCTTATTAGACCGAAAACAAATTAGAAAAGTTATTTTGTCCATTACAGCCTCTTTTAAAGGTGTGTTTTAGAGCTTCTTTTTCATGAACTCTCATAACTGATAAGAGTACAGAATACTTCACTGAATGGCTTCTCATGTGGAATTGGATTAAAACATGAAACTCTTGTCTGTCCTCCTAATTTGGATTGGATAAAATAATTTTATCTCCATACAACACAACCTACACAACCTCAAAAGCACTAAAGACAAAGTGTCCATATATTTTATGTTAAATTCAGACTTGTAAGAGATCTCCACATATATTTTAAAAAGCATGCGTTTGTTTACATTCCTTGTCCCTATCTGGGCCTGTGCTGAATGAAGGAATGTCATAATGTCTCTGAGGATAATTCCAGAGATTAGAGCATATCTCTTTTCAAAACATGATCGCCCAGGTGTTTTGTTTGGCCTCTCTCATGATGTGGTGAAATTATTTCTTTTTTCAAAACGCCATCTCTTTGATTTCTCATTAACCATTTTGGGGGCCACATCTGCTAAAGCAGTTTAAGAAAAAGTTACTGCCTCATTGAAACTGCTCTGAGAAGGAATTAAGTGGGTCTCTGTCTGGCAATACATGCCTATCCATATCTGCAGATATGAGTCTCCTGGTGATGTCTTTGGATGAAATTTGATTAGAATGAACTGAGCTGCTTTGTTAAACAGGCTGTGATGACAATGAACAGCTGTTCTGCTGATGAAAACATTGACGTCGCTGTTTGTCGCTAGATTAGGGCAACATGTATCTAGTGCATGACAACTAAGCTTCATGATAGATATGTGATTTATGGTTTTTTAGTTTGGTTTGTCATTTCAGCAGAACTGACAGTTGGACTATATTTCCATGCTGTTGCCATAGATACAATATCTGATTGTCAGGATGAAGAAAACAAGAACTCCCTTGTGCTTTTTCCCTTTTAGACTAAGTAGTAATATGGTATAATTGGGTGTGCATACATTTTTAGGCACTTAAAATGTCTAACAAGGTGTTAATTACTGATTTCATAAAACAAAGTAGAGTGCTATTTTGCACATTTTTGTAAAAAGAAATAAGGTATTCTTTTTATGTAAGAGAGGTTCATAGTATCCTTTTACTTGTTTATGTTTATATGTTTTATTCTGCTATTTTATTCTCAACTGGTAGTACACTGAAAGATAAATTTATCGTCTATTGCCGTCTTCTGAAACAGTAGGGTAGTGATATTTATAAAAGAAAATAGGGATGCTTTGAGTCTTAAAGGATGCTTTATTTAATAAAGAAATTAATTAATTAATCCACTAAGCTGTCTCTTAAAGCCAGTTTGTCCATTGAATAAGACATTAAGAAGCCCCTCTGTGGTGATATCTCACCTGTTTGTGTTTTTGTTCCATACAGGGCAGCACAGAAGCTGAATCTTTCATCTAAGCGCAAGAAGCACCACCCACCTTTGGCTCATTCCCAGGAGGCCTCTGTCTACCCAACCAGCTTCAGCGCAATCCTCCAGTTGTCCCCTCCCCCTGCACCACCATGCCTTCTCAGAGCTGTGTCAAAGGTCAAGGACAACCCAGGAATTGGAAAGGTAAAGTTTTTTTTGTATTGCCTCCTTTTGTGGACCTTGAAGTCACTGAGAGATTTCCATATTCATGCAGACAAACACAGAGGCTGGTATGTCTTGAATGTGATGGAAACAACTCGTATGGAATCGGAATCATAGTATACTTGTTCATTGTTCCCTGCAAAGTGTCCTTAAACCCCTAGTGTACATTAATTATTGTGGTTCTTCATGTAAACATATTTTCTTATGTTCATCTTGGATCTTCATGTGTCATTAACAATGTAAAGACTAGGGATTTCAAACGACAACCATGGAAAAGTGCAATTTTAACTTAAGCCACCTTCGTAAAACCACTGAAGAATAACAGATATGTTGTCCCCTATTAGAAGGGTGAGAGCACATGTTGCCAAATAAATCCATATTTAGTAAAGGAACAAGTCATAGGTTTATTCCATGCTGAAAAGCGATGAGAGAAAACACAACGTTTCGGCTGTGAAGCCTTCTACAGGTGTGAGACCTGAAGAAGGCTTCACAGCCGAAACATTGTTTTCCCTCTTCACTTTTCAACATGGAATAAACCTATTACTTGTTCCTTTGCAGACTACGCATGCTGACACGGCTACCCGCCTGAACTAAATCCATATTTATATGTATATCAAAACCTTCTTATATCATCCACATCAGCATCTTTTTATATTAACCAAAGCATGTTGCTTTAGATCTTAGTCATTCCTATAGGAATAATGTGTTGGGCCAACCCATGGAGAATTAAATGCCTTTATAATAGCTTTGTAGGAATCTGTTTTAAGTATCTAAACTAAGGCTTCAGTTAAATTAAAACTGTGGTCCACTGAGCAGTAACAAAAAACAAAACTAATGTAGTGTTAATCTTCCATTGGCTAGACACAAGAACTGTTTGACAAGCATAAAAGCAACAGTGACACTTTTTAAATGTATTTTTCTGTAAGTGTAGGTGACTTGGTGATAATGTGATCCTTAAAAGAATTATCAATGAACCCAGAGACTGGACAGTGAAAGATTCTGTGACACTAAGTCAACTTAGTGAATAACCTATACTTCACTGCATGGGCACAACTGATAACTAGACCTCTTACAGACTTATACTTCATTAAATTATCCATTTAAAGAAATACATGGAAAAGATAATTCATCAAAAAAAGTGTTCATTCAGAAATGAAAATACAGAATTGGTGACTTGACTTAACTGTCCCTCTTGTCCCTGCTGAGTTCAATTACATTCCTCCTGGGATATTAAACCAATCCTTTCCTAATTTCCATATGGCAAATGAACAGTAGCAAATGAAACATTAAAATGACATGAATCAGAAGTAGTTCACTGATTGTGGGATGTGCACGTCTTTATTACAGTTAGAAAAAGGAGGGGTTTCCACCCTATGAACAACATCAGGGAATGCTTACTTCTTAATGTGGAACAGGTTGGATAAAAGTATTCTGAATAAAGTTTTTTTTTACCAAAGGAACAATATCCAGTTGGACCAATTATTTAATGTTAAATAATTCCTGTCTGACAAGTTAATTTTTTAGCTTAGTGCGTCATTTTGTTTTTCAAGGCTATTTTGGGCACAACGATTTTAAAAGAAAAGCAATACGTCTGTGTCTTAGGTATTGTCCTTCACAGGACAGCTTTTTGGGTGGTTAAGGGCATTATTATAGTGATGACCATGTTTTTCTTTTATTTTAGAGAACAAATAATACCATTTTAAATACAGATGACACGAACAATCCTTTTATAATACAAATTTTCCAGTATACTTCACACCTGAAAATTTAGTCTATTCATATCTGTTCACTTAATATTTTACTGTTAACTATATGCATTCAGTAATGACCATGTTTATCATCATTTTGAGTGTTAAGGAACAAGAAGTGTGAATTATTTTAGATGGAAATGTTTTAACTTTATGATATTAATCTTGTCTGAAACGATATGGTTAAGACTTTAGACATAGAATAGAAGTATTTAAATGGTATCGTATTGCAACAGACCACCTAATCCATATATCAATCATAATGCAGTCTTAAATAATGAAATACGTGTAAAGGAAGAATTAGTTTTTGTTATGGAAGATTTTAACTTTCTTGAAATAAAATAGGGAAAACGCAATAGGAATGCCAACACCTGAAATTGAGATGATAGACATGTCTTACAATTGCTTTCTATTTGGTTTGTTAGAGCACCTGCTACAGGGAATGCTTGTATTGATCTAGTCTTTTCAATCAATCAAGACTTAGTGAGAAAAACAAAGGGGAAAGCCATTATGGAACTGTGATAATATGGTATTCTTTGAACTTTAAAGGTGGAATCTAAAGAAAAGGTTTACAGTTTCAGGACCATAGACTGTAAAGGAATGAGAATGCTTAACAGAAGTAGAAAGTGACAGGATAAATATGGAACCTGTAGAAAACAGATAAGAAATTCTACTTAAACCACAATTTAATTTGATTGATCCCACAAGTAAATCAAAGCCTGGAAAACAGTGGACCAAATTGTTAAGAAGAATATAAAGAGAAAGGAAAAACACTTTATAGACTATTAAAAACACAATATCTGAACAATTCAAAACTACTATACTGAACTACTAGGACAAATATAAAGAGCATCAGAAAAACAAGGTGAAAGGAACATTTTAATTGATGATGAAATAATTAAATGTGCTATACCTAGGGCAGGGTGCTGTAACAGGATTTTTTAGAGTAAAGTCTCAAAAAAAGACATGCAAATCAAAAGACATGCATGAAGACATGCAGTCGAAAGACAAGGAAATACAGTGCTCTTTGCTCTACAGTGCAGTGAAACAAAGACCTGGACTTCAAAATGAACAGCAAAACACAGGCCAGAGAATACAAGTGGATGATACAGCGAAGTACATTTTAAAATGAGAACAGGAACCACATTTACACAAAAGGTTCTGGAAGTCTAGAAAAACCCACCTAGCCATGTTGTTGAAGGTGATAATCTAGCTCTTTCAAGAAACAGACGGTTGAGCTTTTCAGACAAATTGTCCAACAACAAAAACAAACGAGTTAGATGTGCCAAATTATCTCCACTTCTTTTTAAATATTATTTTGCTCTTGCAGTGGTTATGTTATGCTTTTCATATCTCATCCCTGTTTACCAGAATACATTGCATTTGAGTAAACATTGTACAAGTTAAAGCCTTTGTTAAAATATGGCCCATCTGTCAAAATGTGAAAACACTTGGACCTGTAACTCTGTGGAACTCATTGGTTCCCACACTGCAACATGTATCACAAGACGAATGGTAGTAGCATTCTGATCTAAATGCTCTAAGTCACCACCTTGGTGTAACTTGAGCACTCACAGTTCTATAAAAGTTCACATTTGCTAGAGTTTTACAGCATGGCGCAGACAGAAAAGTACCACATGAGGTATTTTAATACCCTCAGATTCCAACCTCCCCCTTGGAAATGTAGGAGGGCACAGCAGGGAAATGAAGCAGCTTGACTATACCCAGCACCACCATTTATCAGGTGTCAGGAAAGTCTGCATTACAGGAAGAGAAACGATGCTGTCTTCTGTGTGGATTCTCCTCTGCTTCTCCCAGGCTGACAAAAATGTACTTCCTCACAAATGGATTATTCAGTGTGTGATATCATGTTTTTATATGGTTGCTCATTTATTACCGTTTCCATGTCCCCAAGGCAGGCAACTGTTGGACATGAATAGGACACAATATGTAAAACATTAAAAGCTGACTAAGTGTTGAGAATTCGAGGTCAAAATGCCTGCTGTTGCAGTTCCGTAAAATGCATTTTAGGAAAGACAGTTTAAGTGAAACTTAACAATGGTACTTGTAGGAACGTTTAAGTGCATGATCCTAGTTTCCAGATCTTATGTGTTTGTCCTGAAAGACAGTATACAATAAAGTTGATAAGTCTCTGCAAGGAAGATTGGCCTTGAGGCGGTCTTTTTCTTGCATGGCACATATTTAAGAAATTCTGTCTACTTAACATATTTGTTGATTAACAGTTGAAAGGCACATTAGCAGAAGTTGTAACATAAAATGGGCAAAACTCTAAAGTTTCATCGTGGTTATGTGAGTTACATTATGTGATTACTCTGATGACACTTACAGTATTTGGAAAATATAGAATCCTGAAGTAACGACCTCCAAAACCCATATTGCCTTTTTAGAGTCTTAAATGTTTTACAGGTCTTTTAAACTTGGTGATTTCACTGAGTCTTAGTGTCAGTTGATTCTTTACATGTGCACAAGGCTACAAAGTACACTATTTAGCAACTTCTGAACTACCTCTCAGATAAGATTCTTATGAGTAAGTTCACTGACAGTTAAAAAATCCTGTATTCCCTGCAAGACAGTGTCACATTTTCTTTTTCCTGTTGTGCACAGTGGTGGCATTCCTGTTCTATGGCTTTGTGCCAGCTGGCCAACCAGCATCTTCTTATTTGCAATAGAATTCAGTGAGCAAAACGTGGTTTGTGTTACAAAATGATTGTTGATTCTCCCTGGGTGTATTTAGATTTTATGTCAGTAGCTCGGGGGAGCAATGGTTGAAAAGCTTTTTAATATTGTCACCAGAAAGAACTTTGATTGAATTCACTTTCTGACGTTAATGTGCCATTTAAGATAATTAATCATACACATCCCTGCCACTGTGTCCTAACAAACCTGCATCCTAATTTACTGCCAGCTTTTATGAGTTTTTTTTTTAAATAACAGGGCTGCACACTTTCTGAGCAAACGTGCATTTCCTAGAAAGCTATCTCTGTCCTGTAAATGTGTCTTTGCTTAGATCTTGTCAAGCATAGAGAGACGTGATGCTAAAGCTAGCATGCAGAGGAACCAGTGATCTGAAATTGGCAATATTCAGCAATCGCACACAACAAAGTTGTGGAAATGGAATTGCTGTTGCTCCATTTGAAGCATCACAGTCCAGTGCTTACAGTAAAGGGCAGCTTTATTTTTTTATCTTAGCCAAACAACAGTACCATATGCACTAATACATAGGTTTTAGCTGTTGCAGTCAGCACTGCTTTACATCATTTTGCTGTAGAAATGTCGTGTTCAATTCAGAATTTGTAAGGCGCTTAGGGTTTGACAGAATAAAACACCTGTTTTAAGAAGTGAAACATTAAATGTGTTTCATGTGTGCCTTTAATTGTTTTAAGAGCTATGTTTTATATTTTGAAATACTCAGCAGCTTGACTTCATACAAAGTTTGCTCATTAGTCTCTTCCCTTGTTGGCTGCAGTTTCATTTGTAATAACTAGTGCCAGCCAGAATGACTATATTTCTTCATTTATGCTAGCATTATCTTTAGAACTATTCCCTGCCTGCATTTTTGTGAAAAATGAACTTGACTTGTTTTTGTCTTGTCTTATGAACCTATGTAAGAATTGCCCTACCATAGTAAAATGAACACGCCCTGAAATAAAGGAAGGCAGCCAAGTTTTCATACAGTATTTCAGTATTTGCAAATATCATTGTTTCTTAACTGTTTGTGACATGCCCAGTACAATTTGTAAGGAAATGTTACTGAATCCAGAGGTTTACGTGCTCCATTTTGTGTATGAGATTTAATTTTGTTGGCTTTATTACTCCTTGTGTTAACAGAGCAGATCATTGTATTATGCTATATGTAGACATAGATATACATTTCATGACGGTCCAGAATTCCCATCTTTGTTTGGTATTTACTGTACAGGTCATCCTACTTTTAATTCTACAGATATTTTGCATTATGAGGTCAACAGACAACTTTAAATTGTCCCTCATGCGCAACTCTGATTTGCATGTATGTGTGATTGATTGTGTGAGTGTATGTCCTGTAATGGATTGGTATACCATGCAGAGTGTAGTTCTCAGTCCCTGTACCTGCTTTAGGTTAGGCTTTAGTTTGCCTCTAAGACAAGAGCTTCTTAGAAGGTTTTATGAGTATGTAAGGAAGATGGATGGATGGTAATAGCAAAAACTAAGAAACAAAAACTTGCTGTAAGGGGTAATGATTATGGAAACACAGTAAATTAAAAAAAAACTTCCTCTCATAGTCATGTGAACAAAGACCTGTACAATACTGCAGGACTTTACCATAAAGAATGGTGCATGCATCATTTCTTGTTTCCCTGTCTCAAGCATGGCAGTAACCCATTATGAGAAAGAAGTAGAATTAAATGGGGATTTGTGTTGATTATCCTAATACTTGTTTTGTAACGGAATCAACAGTACTGGATGGAGTACAGAAACAGGATCACTTACAAGCTGTGGGCTCAAAGTATATATGCTGGGTGGCTCCAGTGGATTAAGAAGAGCCTGGTCGGTAGGTACATCAGTATATCAGTTGACTGATGCATTTAAATTTAGAAAGAAGGCATTTGCTACTACACCAGAGAGTTTGTTAGACCTATATATATAGGAACAAGTTTAAATGTCATAGCAAAAGTAATTTGTAAGCCATATGTACATGTCAGTCATAATAATATCCCTTGGAATGAAGACAGAGTTTATGCTGAGCTGCTGGAATTCAGGGATTTCATTGTTCAAATGAAATTAAATCCACTCATTGTTTCAGTCTAATGTTGGATTTATAGCAATATACATACAAACCAAGAAAGGAATAAGCTTTTGTTTGGCTTAAATGGCATGGGGAAAATCAGCTTGGTTTATGTATTTATTTTTCTGCCTATGCAAAGGATGGGGGGGGGGGACTTATCTGCTGCTTGATATCATGGTGAATGTGAGAGGCATAGTAATTTTGTTTTCAACATGAAGCTCTTTATTGTCCAAGATTGAATTCCTTATCACTTTATGGTTGTTAGTGCCAAGGCTGTTTGTAGTTTTAGTAAAGGAAAAGGGGGAAAGCAAGTATCCGAGTGCCTTGGTGATAAAAAGAAAAAGCAAGCGACAAACAATTGGAGACAGTCTTCTTACACACAGGAACATTTAAATTAATCTCTTTGCTTCTAGAAGGTTTATGCTGTGTTTCATTTCATCCTCCTGTACATTTGATTTTCAGCTACAATTAAAAATATTCTCGTACTGCTTTAAATTATTTAACTTTATAAAATGGTGAAAATGTTTAAATCTGCTATTTTTAAATTTAGTACGTATAATTATGAAGCATCTTCTTTTGCTATTCTTTTGGTCTCAGATGTTTATTTTCACAAGTAATTTCATGAACTGCACTCTTATTTCAAATGATACCATGATAGTTAAGCAATGAGGTAACTAATGAGTCTTATTTTATGAGCCTTATTTGAAAAGTTGCTATGGAGATTTTATGGCTGACAATGTTTTGACATTTTGTGCTGTTTGTCATGTGTTTGGGTTACAATGTTATTGTAGCATTCCATTTCTTCTTGTGGAAATGCAATAACAAATTTTATTCTTAGAAGCAGTAAAATTAAATTCCAGTTTGTGGCAGTTTTTCCCCCACTCAAAAACAATAACAGTATTGCTCCTGGGCTTAAAAAATAGTGAAGAGAATTTCACTTAGACTTTGGAGAAACTCTATACGGCATTTTTTTCTTATGAAATGAAGCCTGCAAGCTTTTGACACACCAAACCAAAGTGCGGGAAAGGATTGGCAAGTTAAATCCTTGTGGGTCCTGAAGCAGATCAAATGATGTGTGTAGCAAAGCCTTCTTGCTTCCTGTCTGAATTATAGATGACTGGTAAATTCAGTTTAACTGTTAAATCAGGTGTAAATGGACTGTAGCTGGTGAAGGCAGGGTAGCTCTGCTTAGCTGAATTTACAAGAGAAGAGGTCAGTGAAGTAGGGCTGAGTTCCTGCTATCATGTAATCACTGTCTCTTTAACCTGACATCTGTTAACAGCAGTGACTAAATGTCGCCCACACAGGCAGAGCAAGTCGGTGCTTGTAGAAGATACTTAATTTGATGAAAAGTTCAACTGTGTTAAACTCAATTAGTGTTTTCTAATTCATTCTAACTTGTTAAATGTGTGGTTAAGATGAGATTGGGAGGGCTGAGGATTTTCTTATTACTATTTCTTTTTATCAGATATGACTTTTTATGACTTCCAGACAAGTAGCGCTTTTGTAGGAGAGACGATGAGCATGAAACTAATGTGTGTAGATGGTGGGGCTTAATCAGACGGGCATGAGATGTGAATCTGTTTTGCAAGTTTTCTAGAGGAAATTAATCTGATGTGCTTTGGAAACCTAGACATTTCTGACCACCCTGCTGCTGTTATTCCTTTTAAACCACGGAAGTCTAGTTTAATTAATGTTCTCTAAATTAGATGGAATGAAACTTTTTGCTGTCTGAGCAGTTCCTTGGGATAATTCAAAGCTTATGTATGGCTGAGATGTATGGCTCAGTTTGCATTCACTGCCTGAAGCCTCTTGCCTTTGGTTTCACCATCTCTTTTGCACTGCCCTCCTGGAAACAGCTGTGCCATTTAGCTTCAGCTTCAGTACGTTTCTTGTTTAGTCCTTTCATATCTGGCTCAGCCTCTGTGAAAAATTGAGGTGTTTTGTTTGATGGGCAAAAAATTCTGACTTTGGACTTAAAATCTAAAGTTCAACTTCATCTTAAAATTGAGTAACAAAATCCTTGATCTTTCCTTTCTCAGTACGTCTATAGCAATGTATATAATTATGATACATCACTACACGCAAAACGCAAAAACCTGTTAACAGAAAACTGCAATAATGGCAGAATGACAAAATTATTAACAGTTGATTAGATGAAATGCCAAAAAGGAAGTTCCCACCAAGAAAGATTGTTTAATTTAAAAAATTTAATGGTTCTCAATTCCCTATATCTACAACACACCTAAAGAGCAATAGGCTTACAAAATTTGAGAAAGACAACGGATTGTGCCTGGGGCACTCTTGCAACTGCCAAGAGTGAGGTTATCGTCTTTGAACGTATAATTGCTCAGCTGCTGTTTTAGTTTATTTTGTACTGTAAGAAAAAAATTATTTGAACTTGTTTTTATGTCTGTAATTTAGCTAAGAGGTCACGTGGAGGGCTGTCTAAATGTGTTTTGCTGGCTGTATTTTAGCATAATTCAAAATTAACCACCTGCTGACTCAGATATATCCAGAAAGCCTTCTGATTTCTGTAAACCTTTTACAGGATGTCATCAGTGCTGAATGTTATCATCCTGTAAGTGCGTGTTGTAAATCACATTTAAGAATATTAAGAAGGAAGAGTATTTTCTGGAATTGTAATCCACCTCATATTTAGTGGACGAGTTATGCGCCGTTTTTATCAATTTATGAATTCTTATTCATTTCACATACTGCTGACGTGCCAGACAGCTCAACACTTGTCAGTATGGTGATTCAGGGTCTCTGTATGCTGTTGTCAGACAATGTTTCAATTTTTTATGTTTTCACCATGGAAAGACTATCATTAGGACTTGTCACTGTGGTCATTTATGGAACTAATTCAGGATACAATATGAAGTTTAACTAAATAGCAGTTTGCAGAAGTACATGTGACTTTAAAAGTGTTTTTCTTACATATACTTGTTTGATACTGGAGTTTATTTAATGTAAACAACTTTTTTTTTTAAATAACCACAAAAGAGCTACCTCACGTTTTTTTCTTGTAAACGGATTAGTTAAACTGCGGAATGTATTTTACTGTATGTACAGTGTCTGCAGTTTTAAGTATTTTGTTTCAGACCACAAGACTGCTTTCTGGTGCAATAGTCTTATTGGATCTTTTTAATGTGGCTTAATCTCCTTATTCATTCTTTTAGGTAAAAGTGATGATGCGCATCTGCCCTTCCCAAGGTGGGAACGAAACCTCCGAATCCATGTCCTTCCTCAAAGTAGACCCTCGCAAGAAGCAGTTGACCCTTTATGACCCCTCTGCCAATGGACACACAAACTCAGGTCACAGGCGAGCTGTTGTGGCAGCCCCAAAGATGTTCGCCTTTGATGCAGTTTTTACCCAGGATGCCTCACAAGTAAGCAAAAAAAAAACATTTCTGAAATTGACTTATCAGTCACAAGTACATCTCTGGTCCCTTCCTAGAAAAACGGTGGGGCTGGATGTAATGTGGCAAACACAGTGCCAGACCGCAACATCCTCCTAATTTCAGGGTAGCAGCAGCTGGCTCTTTTCGAGTGCTGTAGTGATTTGAATTCTATCCAGGGTCTTATAGTATGTAACCTCAAAAACTAACTCACAGCTAGGGTTCAGTAGAGGGAAAACCAACCTGAAACGAAAGGCTGGTTTCTAGCCTTTACTCTTTAAACCCACCTATGTGGGTATTTTGTTGCAGATGGCAACAGTTGAACCTGTGTGAGGTTGAAAAAAGGAAAATCCTGCCAGGAATTGTTGCAATAGCAATATCTTTAAATAGGCATGACCATGACCATATGGTTCTGTAGGGAACCATAAGTTTCAGATTGACCGTATATTCTTAGAAGAAATATAGAACCAGGAGGTTTGCTAACTTTTTTTATCTGCAGCAAAGGCTTGTTTTTGTAAGCTTCTCTGAGGATTCAGAGCTTGCCTTCAAGGCAGTGCTCATATCTGGTAGGAGATGTACAAGGAGGAGTTAATTTTAAAAAACAGACAAGGGCACTGCTTGCATTGCAGGTGGGAGCTCCTCCATGCAGCAGGATCTGTCTGAAAGCTAAAACAGAATGCTGTACATATTCTAACATGTATTACTTGAATACTGTTTTGTGAAGAATTGACAGAAGTACCTGCCTATGAAATGTCATTGCTGTGAGCAAGAAATTTGATAGCATGCTGTCAAAAACTTAAACACATGATCAACTTTTTTTTCTTGATGCCCTCTTGATGTTATTTTCTACTGTGCTGTTAATAGCTTCATTTTCATTTTTTTTTATTTTTCTAGGCAGAGGTGTGCTCAGGAACAGTAGCTGAAGTCATCCAGTCTGTCGTGAATGGTGCTGATGGTTGCATATTCTGCTTTGGTCATGTCAGACTTGGTAAGCTCTTAAATTTGTTACAGTTAATTACTGTGTCAGCCCTATAATTACATGCTGTCAATTCGTGGAACAATAAACTTGCTGTGTGTGTGAATGGATTAGAACTCCTGTCTTTAATTGACTTTGCAAACTTAACACATTGTATGTCCAAATGGAAGTTCCCAGCATTTATTCCACAAGATTGTAACTCATACATTAGTTGATGGAACCATTATTTCAGCAACACAGGAAGATGCCTTTATTATAAACTTCCTTAAAAGCCTACAAAAGATGTGTTGTTCACTCAGGTGAATTGTGGAGTTGCAGAGAGGTGGGGGGTGGGGATAAAACATACAATAGTTGTAAGAGAATGCCTTTCAGGAAGCTTTTCAATTAACCCCTATGGTACAGTGTATTTGAAGTGCTACAATTTTAAAGCTCTTGCTTGTTATGCGTTTCTGTGTTTTGCTAATGTGTCACTGTGTAACAACAATACAAGCCTTAGAAATATTGAAACATCCCCTGTCTCCAGACAGGTTTTGAAAATGCATATTTTTTCCATAAAACAGTGAATTAAATATTATCTCGGCAACAGAATCATTGGCGAATATAAAGGCATTCTAGTATCTTTGTGTGTCTGTACGCATGCCTGTGGTCCGTTAATACAAAGAGCCTTGTTTTTTCACTTTCATTTAATTTTATGCGGTATTGACTAAAGTAGTTGGAAAATGGATGACTGGATTTTCATTAAAAAAGTTATAAGAAGGTGTGTAATGTGATCAAGGCTCTTGTTCAAATTAGTGGCCTCATCTAGTGCATAAGTTAGATTTTAGGAGTGCACTGTCATATCTTCTCAAATACTTTTATCCTGATTTCTGAGGAAATGCATTGTTGAACGTAAAATTTGCCCATTCAGTCTACAGTACATTGGCAATGTGAGCACCATGTCAGCAGCACAGCAAATCACTAGGCTCTGTATGCTGTGCTGTTTTTATGCTTTAGTCTATTTTTAAGGTTTTTGCACAAAGTGAGCAAATAAGGATTTTTCTAGGAAATGTAATAGAGGAGTCAATGAGATAAAACAGTGACCATCTTCAAAATTATTTTTAAATTGTGAACACTCCCACTGAACTGATCCAGTTACAGAAGTGCTGTCACCCCCCTTAGTAATCCAGAGAGTGTAAAACTCAGCCAGGGCAGAAAACCTGGTTTGGTGCAGTGTAGTTATCTGTTAGCTAGGGAGTGGCATTGTGCATGTTTGGGGCCCACAGTCGACTGGGATTGAATTCCAGCATGGCTGGAAGGGAGCTACATTCCTTATACATGTTAAATTGTTCATGTCATGAGATGGTGCAGGAGTGAATTCTGAGGTGTGGGCACCCTCAAATTCCGAGGTACTCTAACTGATTTGTCTGTCACCTTGTCCTGGCGAATTTGGCACATGACAGTGTTAGTAAGATTTAAAAAGTATTCTGAATAATACATATCCATGACAAGCCCATGTGTTTTTCAGAAACTTCAGAAAGAAAAGCATGCTGTTGTACTTATTCATGAATGCCGTACACTTCTATGTGTCTTTATTTGTACACTGTTATTATAGAATATGTATAAGTAGCATATAGTAATGGTATAGTCTAAAATGTGTATGATGTAAAGAAACTTCTTTTAATCAAAATCTGTCTAAAAGTAAGTGAAATGTATAGAATAGAATTTGCTGCTGATATGCCTTACAAAGCTGCAGTTGTGATGGATTCACCTCCCAATTCTCAGGTAAAACCTATACGATGATTGGGAAGGATAATACCACCCAGAACCTGGGCATTGTCCCCTGTGCCATTTCCTGGCTGTTCAAGCTAATCAATGAGCGCAAGGAGAAGACAGGTACACGCTTCTCCATCCGGGTATCTGCAGTGGAGATCTGTGGGAAGGATGAGACACTTAAAGATTTGCTATCAGATGTGGCTAGTGGAAGCCTCCAGGATGGCCAGTCTCCCGGTATCTATCTACGTGAAGACCCTATCTGTGGCACCCAGGTACTCCTTTTCATGTTTTCCTTAGACGTAAAGGGTCAATACAGCGCTCTCTGCCAGTCTCTGTGTGGTTGCCAGTTTCTCTCTGTACGTTTATAGATGTATAAAGCTAATGATATAAATGCCAACCAGTTGCATGGTTATCTGTAGCAGGTTCTGTGTGATGGTCAAGACCATGTAGACAATTTCTGATTTGTATTTGTGCTTGCTCTGCTTTGTAGTTTGCATCTAGAATTAGTTTAGCAATGTCATGTCAAGATTCCTCATTTTGATATTTAGGAGCTCCATTAATCAACTTATCTCTTAGTCTGGCCATATTGAATATCCGATTTTTCTGCATAAAACAGTTTTTCTGCCATTCATTTTCTTTCTTTACATAAAGAAATCAATACGTAAACTAAAATCTGATTCTTTTCATTGGCTAATGTATCAATACCTACCTTTGTATTTATCTGTCTGTCAGCATTTGCTTGTGAATATCACCACAGTCTTGTCTCCAACTTTCCCCATATAACTTCAAATCCATACACCTATCATTATTTGTAGGCCTATTGCAGCAGTAATCTTCAGGGCAGCTTTGAAAAAAAAATAGACAGGTGTTTCCTTCAGATGTTGTTTATGTGGACTAAGACTTCAAAGCCCCAGCCATGCCTTCTGAAGCATCCTCTTGTTAGAGGCATAGAAACTGGGCTGCTCCATTAATATTTGCTCTGTATTCCTTCTGCGTTTTAGCATTCCGGGAAGTGTCATTGCCTGTGCTTTTCCATTACCTTTCTTAATCCCTCTCCCTCTGTGTGCATATTTGTTTCTCTGATTGCCCAGGAGACCTAATCTAATGGGCAAGAAATATGTGCCTGGGTCCAATTAGCAACCTGTTCTTCTCTTCCTTTCTCTCTCATGCTCACTCACTTTGCTTCTCTCAGCTCCAGAATCAAAGTGAGCTCAGGGCCCCCACTGCTGAAAAGGCTGCCTTTTTCCTTGATGCAGCCATCGCTGCAAGGAGTACCAGTAAGCCCGATTGCGACGAGGAAGACCGGAGAAACTCCCACATGCTCTTCACCCTGCACATCTATCAGTACCGCATGGAGAAAAGTGGCAAAGGAGGAAGTAAGGCATTTTGCTAGTTGTTGAATTGTTTTCATAAGTTTGCTGATCACTATCATTTTATGCGTTATTCATCTGTGCAACTAAGTGTTTTGATACAAAAATACTGATGCAGTCAATACAAGTGCCACCTTTTCAGCTTTTTCGAAAGGAATATTTGGGGGATCATTTTCCACATGCAAATTTAATGCTCAAATCTGAAAAGTATGTATTTCCTTTGGAAATATTGTCCTTGGAGACTATACTGAGAGTGCCATTTATTTTCAGTGGATCATGCTACAAAACATTATTTACTTCATGGTAACAACTTCCCTTTAAAAGACATATTGGGGGTTCATATATTATTTTGACTTTTGATGATACCACTGTCATATTCTTCTAAAATATAGCTTTCATTTGTAGCTCTTGCCCCATGTGGTACCAAAAATCACTTTACTGTTAGTGTTACAGGTGAAAATCTGTAGCCTGACCGTGGAGATGTAACAAATTAATGTAGTGTAAGCGTATTAAAAAAAAAAGATGTTTCACCTAAAATATGAACTTTTGTTAATGAAACTGACATGAGACAGACATTCTGAGATGTCTAATTCTGTTAGATGTAAAACTACCGGAATGGCAAAGTATATCTTTTCTTATATTATTTATAACTGACAATCTTGGATGTAGTGTAGACTAGTCAGAAAGGCTGGAAACCTAGAGTGGAAAAGTGAACACCATGTAGAAAGGCATGATGGCATGAACAACAATTTCAACTACATCTTGTCAGCTTAGTTTAACAAGCAAGACTTTCAAGCTCTTACAAGCCTTTGTTCAGTGGCAGCATGAAGAAAACACTCTGATTTCTACACCAGCGTAGCAAAGCTGTGTATTGACACAGCTGAGGACATATTTCACACACATCAGAAGATGTTAATGCTGATACTTCACAAAGGGGAGTGTGTGATGAAAAGTCCAATATTTCCATTTATCTCTCACTTTATCAGCTAAAAGAAAAATGAATGAGCTTTGTTAGGACCAATCAATAAAGACCCTAACAAATTTAAAAGAATAATGAAACAAGGATAATCCTTTTTTTCCCCCGTCAGCACTATTTAAGTTAATAACATATTGTCGGTACCAGTCATTTGAGAAAATCTTTACATTCAGTCCATCATTAATATTTTGCTTTTCGCTCTCTTGTTGGTTTGGTTGTGCTTGTCATATGAATAAACATGTATATATAATAAGTCTTGAGACCGCTTACACCATGAATGTTTGCTTGCTCCCAGAGAATCAGAGACTTTGAAAATACAAGGGTAACTTGCATGTGGTGGCTAAAAATAATTCATTTTCACTGTTATCTATTTGGTTTCTAGGACAGTACAATTTCTTTTTTTATATATTGGTAGCCAGTTTTCTCCTGCAGTAAAACTGTAAAGGAATACAGTATCAGAACCAACAGGTTTCATTGAAAACCTTTTTGTAGTTACCTGTGCTGAAGATGATTTTAGTATCTCCTATATGTGTGGATATGTATGTTTATTATTTTAAGGAATACTATTCTGTCCCTTTCTATGGAAGATTTTAATTTTTTCTCCTACCAAACCAAGATAAATTATTAGAAATTCTCTGTGAACTTCGTGGTTTCTATCGGATGGAAATGAAAGACTTATCAAACTGTTAAAGCTCTCTACGAGCAACATTACTCAGTAATTGGGGCAACATTGCTCCAAAAGGCTATGGAATATTTTGCTTTAATAATTCCCTTTGAGGAAAAAATCCACTTGTTATCTTTGATGTGCATTCTAAATAGTTAAAATATATGTACTTTTTAATTGAAGCTCAGTAGTAAACAGGGAGCCTTGTCTGTCACTCTTGGCCTCCCATGTGTTTTTTTTTAATTTTCTGCCTAGTGCAGTAAGTACATTGAAAGAGATAATCATATGTTTATGGTTGTCTGGAACAGCTTTAGTTAAACTGCGCATCTTTACCTATATTTGAATCATAGAAGGCTCAGGCTTACTCATGAATGAATCAGATGTACATTTGTTCTTTGGGTTTAGAATGACCCATATCTGATAAAAATACATATAAACTATTGTTCTTTATTCATTCTTAATTGTGTTTGGTAGTGTCGGGGGGACGCAGCCGTTTGCACCTCATTGACTTGGGGAGCTGTGAGAAGGTGTTGAGCAAAAGCAGAGATGGAGGAGGAGGCCTTTGTTTGTCTTTGACTGCTCTGGGCAATGTCATCCTAGCCCTGGCCAACGGAGCTAAACACGTACCTTACAGGTTGGTAACCAGTGGCTTAACTGTGTCGGTTAGTATAACAATCATGGGAATACAAATGTGAGAATGAAGATAAGGTGAAAAACATAGAGAGGGCCAAGTTTGCGCTTGTTTGCCTTGACAGTTTTATAGCTTTCCTAACGCCCCACGGTTCTTGGCCCTCCACTCACAGCAAAAGAACATGATAAACTGTTTAAGCTGTTTATTTTCACTTAAAGTCAGAATGGAAAGGAAAATTGAAGAAAAGGGGTAAATCCATAGATACAGAAAGTTATTGATAACTTTTGGTCCCAGTAAAATGCTGGATCCTGGAAATTGGCTGGGTTATCGTTTATCAGTTCTCTTCATTAAGTAGGTGGAAGAGGTATACAGATTGTTTGGATAAAGGATAAATGTAAAACGAGTGAAACTGGTTTTGTTTAAACATGGTGTGACTCAAGGAGGAGAAAATATATTGTTATATATTATTTATAGCAACTTGGGTGTGTTTAAAGATGCGAAAGAAAAATAAGCTATTTTGCATCCTTGTTCAGGTATATATGCTTCCTTAATTTATGTATAGATGGCTAATATAAAATTATATATTTTTTTCCATTTAATTTATATTATTTCCTTCAACTATGCTCAGACAAAATGAGGTACAGAGTGAGAGGTTTGCCATTTCTTTGAATAAATTGGTGTATTTTTAATGTGTAATTCAGGGACAGCAAGTTGACTATGCTGCTGAGGGAATCTTTGGGGAATATCAACTGTAGAACTACAATGATTGCTCACATCTCTGACTCACCAGCCAATTATGCAGAGACACTCACCACTATTCAGTTGGCATCACGGATACACAGAATGAGAAAGAAGAAATCCAAGGTTAGTCTGTTCTGTTCTTACCTTCTTGGTCTGGTTTTCTTGGTACAAGTATCGTAGACTCTCATAAAATGCTAAAATTTTCAGCATTTTATGGTGCTGTAGTCCCTACCCCTAAGGTATTATACCATTGAACTATGCAAATTACTTTTCTGTATAAACTATGCAACAGTTACTTTTTATGTAGAAACCCACATGACAGAAAAGTAGTTTTATAGAAATAAATACATTACATCAGTATACTGAAGGAATATTTCTATGAATTTTAAGGACATTTTTGTGGTGGAATTTAAATTTCATAGTGCTGTTTCAATACTATATATCCCAGAAGCTCTTTCAAATGGCTGAAATACATTCCATTTAATTGCATTGACCTTACTTTTATACTGGTCATTTCCTTAAATTTCTTACCTTTAAGAATATTTAATAGTTTTTTTTCTTATAAATTAATTATATTTAGAAATAAAATAAGCTTATCTTATCTTACATTAGATAACTTAAAATTAAAAAATATAATAATTGTGATTTTAACCTCAATAAGAAGGTAGAAAATAAATAAATAGAAAGCCATCAAATGTGTATTTTTTCAATATTCATTTTTTAATCTTTTTATAGTATGCATCCAGTTCTTCTGGTGGGGAGAGCTCATGCGAGGAGGGTCGAATTCGACGACCGCCTCACCTTAGACCATTTCACCCACGCACCATTGCCCTGGATCCAGACCTCCCAACACTAGTCTCCAGTGACCCCGACTACTCTTCAAGTAGCGAGCAGTCCTGTGACACAGTCATCTATGTGGGGCCAGGAGGTGCTGCGCTTTCTGACCGAGAGCTCAGTGACAATGAAGGTCCTCCAGCTTTTGTTCCTATCATCCCCTCACTAAACCGGAAACGTTCAAAAGAAGGCCCTTCAGGGCCACAGAGGACTTTTGATCGGGACCACTTTAAGTGCAACACTTTTGCCGAGTTGCAAGAGCGTCTGGAGTGCATTGATGGTAGTGAGGAACCTTCTGCTTTTTCGGTTGAGGAACATCTGTTTTCAGTGAATGGGAGTCAGGCTGCCACCAGGACTGAGAGTGGAGCATCCAAACCAGGGAAAGAAGGAAATGTACTTGCCCCATGGACTTCTGTGAAAGCCGCAAATCAAGAAAGCCTTTCCCCTAAACGACCCCCCTGTTCTCCGGCTACTAGCCATCCATCAAGTAGCTCTTCCTTAAAGTCCAAATTGGATCATTCCAAATGGCCTGCTGGGGTATCAGAAGGAGAACCCTTGGATAATGTGAACCGAACAAGTGCAGATGGAGAAAAAGTGTTGGTCTCTGATAATTGTACAGGTGTATTGAAACAAAATGTCACCATGTTGCAAGAGCAAGCTTCTGAGCCTGTAGTGCGGGAAAAAGTCTATTTAAACAAAAGGCCGTTGCCAAAGCCTGCACCACCTCCTCCTCAGCTAAAAGAGTCTAGAAAACCTTGTCCTGAGGTCGAGAACAGTAGTGCAACCAGGACACCACCTGTGGGGATGAGCCACCAAGCTCTGAAAAAAACAGAGTCCAGGAATTCTCCAATGCTGGGTATGGGCCAACCCACAAGCAGAACTCCCATAGAAGTGAGCCATTTGCGCTCAACTTTGAGGGGAAAGTGTTTTGATAGGGATATACTGACAACCACAGTAACGCTTCAGCAGCCTGTAGAGCTGAATGGAGAAGATGAGCTGGTTTTCACCGTGGTAGAAGAGTTGTCCATTGGTGGTATAATAGACAATGGACGACCTTCTAGCATAATCAGCTTCAATAGTGACTGTTCCCTGCAAGCCCTTGCCTCAGGTTCCCGTCCAGTAAGTATTATCAGTAGCATCAATGATGAATTTGATGCATATACTTCCCAAGTGGCTGCCTCTGGAGTTAATATTGAGGTGGTTACCCCCTTACCAGAAGAACCATTTGCCTGCACTGGCAGTAGACGTTCTTCTATCAGTTCCTGGCTCAGTGAAGTGAGTGTGCAAACTTTGGAGACTGAAGGCAGCCAGTCCTCAGACAGCTTTTTACCTAAGTATTTAGATCCTGAAGGTACCTTCTGTTTGGATTCTCTTGGCATGTTTCATAAGGAAATGCTTTCCCCTCAAGACTTCAAGAGCTCTATGAATGACAGCGGCTTTTGCTTCTCAGAGTTAGATAGTGATAGTGCTGCTTCCAGCAAGCTTTCCTTGAGTATCAGCAAGTGCCCGCCATCCCCTGAGTCTACCAAAGCAGCAGCCAAAAGTTCCAAGTCAAAGCTAGCCAATACTCTCAACACTTCCCAGGTCCCACTGGTTTCTCAAGTTGCTCACTCCAGTCTTCCCAGGAAAATGAAACCTACCTCATCAGTCACCCAGAATAACAGTAGCATTCAGAATTGCCATGAACTCCACCAACAGGAGGGCAAGTCAGACGACCCTTGGCTGCGCCTAGACAGTCATTTAGATTCTAAAATGACTGATTCAAGTTCTCCTGGCAAACTCCCTAGGAATGGCACAAGTGTCCCTGCCAAGAAACCAGGTGTGAACAGCAACAGTGTGCCTCGTCCTCCCAAGACACAGGTGTCTTCCTCATCCCAAAGGGTGGTAGATGGGTGTGAAAAATCAAACAGCAAAAAAGCGGAAGCTCCCAGCAAAATGCCACAGCTCAAAAGAGGGGCTACTACACTTGGCACAGTTCCAGTTATCCACAGTTCTTCAGATTCCAGAGGAAGTCAAGATAGTACTTTGGGAATGGGCAGCCTGAAATTCTCCTCTTTGGGGAAAAAGACAAATGTACAAAAAGCTAGCTTGCTTCCAAAGCCCGGTGGTACCTCACCTCCAGCTCCTCCTGTTCGCAAATCTAGCCTAGATCAGAAGAACCGGGTTTTGTTGCCACCCAGTGCCTTAAAACCTGTAGGACTAGATGCAGGAAAATCCACAGCACCCAAGGCAACAGCTGCAGAAGATGAGTTTGAGGTGAGGTTCAAAGTTGACTCCAGTAGTCACAAAACATCTAGCTTAAAGTCTGACTATGGTTCAGCCAAAGCCACATCAAGTCTGAAGCAACGTACAGCTAAAACAGACACTGGGCAGTGGTATGGCAGCCAGATGTCTCTTGAGAGATGTGACAGCTTAACTTCAGTGGGTTCCAAATCGCTACTTTGCAGAGAGAATAGTGGTTCCAGCTTGGGCAGCAACGGCAAATCCAGCAGGTCAGTGCCACGGCTTGGAGTGCCACCCCCTGCTTCCACCCCGACTGCTACCTCCCCACCTCCTTGTGCAGCACTGGGACCCTCAGGCAAGACTGGGCCAATCAAAGGCAGCGTGAACCCCAAGGTAGTCAGTATCAATGGAAACAAGACCCGCACTTTGTCAGCTAGTAGCTCTAAATCCCTTAGTTCCTCTACCAAATCTCTTGCCCCATCAACAACACGGACTGCCAACCTACCTCCCAATGGGAAGACGCCTCCTCGGTCAGTACCAGGGGTCAATGGGAAGCCTGGAAGAGGCACGATCATGGGTACAAAGCAAGCCATCCGGGCAGCTAATAGTCGAGTCAGTGAGCTAGCGTCTGGGGGCTCTGGCAAACACTTCAGAAGCTCAGGGGACTCGGACAGTGGCAATGATAGTGGCGTGAACCTCAGTGACGACAAGTCACCTATTCCAATGTTGCCTTCTCCATATAGCAAGATTACAGCACCCAGAAGGCCACAGCGCTATAGCAGCGGACACGGTAGTGACAACAGTAGTGTACTAAGTGGGGAGCTGCCTCCAGCAATGGGTCGAACTGCCCTATTCTACCACAGTGGGGGCAGCAGTGGTTATGAGAGCATGATTCGGGATAGTGAAGCCACAGGCAGTGCCTCTTCTGCTCATGACTCCATGAGTGAAAGTGGAATGTCGTCTTCAGGCCGTACCAGGACATCCAAATCCCCAAAGAAGAGGTCAAATGGTGAGTGGTGCCAATTCTAATAATAATTCCATGAAGGATTTGCTGGAAATAAGTATCTTACCATAATTATTCTTGATTATTAATGCTGAATGAAAGGACACATTTTACCTTAAGCTGCCAACAAAATAATTAACACCTAAATATATAAGATAAGATAACTTTATTAGCCCTATATAATTTCTTGCATTAGGAATTTGTCTTTTTGCATACCCCAGCTTGTTCTCCATGAGACACACAGACAAGGAGAGAGAAGCCTGGGGTCAGAGCACAGGGTCAGCCATTGTACAGCAAACTTGGAGCAGTTGGGGTTAAGGGCCTTGCTCTGGGGCCCAACGGAGTAGGATTCCTCTGCTGGCCACAGGATTTGAACCTGCAACCTTCCAGCCACAGGCGCAGATTGTCACATAGATTCAAATGCACAAAATATCTTTTGTTTGGTTTTTTACATTTTATTTTAATCTTCCAATAGCATTTTTATCACAACATTATGGAAGCTGAATTTAAAAGTGGAAATCCCATATGGATGTAATTAACTTAACAGCTGATAAAATGAAAACATCTCAAGATTCACTTTGATGCTCTGTGCTAAAAGGTGTTCTAATTACAACTACAACACTGCTTTTGATGAGCTAATATGTGACGTTTTAAGTAAAACACCCTTTGTGACAAATGGAAGGTAAAGCAGTAACTATTGGAGTCTATAATCCTACTGGACTTTACTACTTCCCCATAAAAAGCTTTGATTTAAGCGTTATTGAGAAACAGCTATAAATACCTTCTGATTGCTTTTTGAAAAGCAGCCCTGTGAGTGTTTGCTGATTCAGGCACAGTGTAGTTGCTTTATGGAACAAGTGTCTTGCAGAATGTATCTACAGTAGGTTTCTGTTTTGATACAAAGGAACATGCACTTATGTACTGTATATATTTACTTGCCATGGTCTGTTACAGTGGCTTACCAGTTGGACATTTTTCTTTCAAATACAGGCTGCTTAGTATTAGCACAGAGCATGTCAGCTTCTCCATGCACATCCTGCATCTCCCATTTATTCTACAAATCAATAGCAACAGCTCTTTAAGATTGCACATATTTTTCAAAAAGGTATTACCTCTCTGACAGGTTGAATTTTTTTTTCCTTTGGCCCAAGGCAGTTTTTCTTAGATCTATAGAGAAGGTGTACTCTTTAAATTTCAATTGGATTTTTGTATTCTATCAGTAGTTTGCCTCCCTCCTTCTGAATGCTTGATGCATTTCTGCTCACTTAATATCTTTAGTGAGAAGAATGACAGTTTCAGGCAAGCCAACTGCTAAATGTATCTTGTAGAGATGATGGCACTTGGACAATGAAAATAAGAACAGCATGCCTTTGTAATATGGACTTAAATTTTTACTATGTGTCAGACGTTTATTTCTATGTCTTTATTTTGACTCTTAGAACATTGTTTTAGTCCTGGTTCAGAAGGTTCATGCATCTTATTGTATTTCTTCTGACTAGGACTATGAAAATAGATACTGTACCCATGGAAAAAGTCACCTCAAATTAACATTGTCTAATTTAATAATTAATCTCTGTGTCATGTGTTACAGATGTACAGTTTATCTACATTACACTTTAGACTACATGCAGGATTCTGTGAAGCCATAGATAGATTCATATACTATTGCTCTTATCCAAAAATAACATGCATGAGTTTTGATGCCTGCAATTGTGATACACAGCCAGTAACTCTTAAGTGCTTTCATAAGTTTCCTCATGAAGCCACAAAGTTATTTCTGAAAACCTTTATAAACCCTTGGAAGAAGTGGTTTCCAGATTTTAGATCTGTATCCTTAGCATTCATTTGTTCCCATTCCTGAACACTATTCAAAGAGCTCTTTCAAAGTAATCAAGACACCTTTCCTAAAGTCTTTCATTACTAAGCCTAGCCTATTATTGTTCAGAGTCTCAGGCTGAAAGTACCTGTAGATCCATATCCACTGAGTCAAAAAGCATGATCAAGTATTATGAAAATTAAGTCAAAACTAGAACACTGAGAACTGAGAAATGAGGCCGTTGAGTGTAAACTAGAAATAATGATACCATTTGCAGTTGCTACTCACTAGTTAGTTAGTTCTTAGTTGTTAGCTTCAGACTGAAAACCCATAGAACAGACTTTCCTCTAACTCAATGAGTGTTAGAGGATACATTTCTTTTAAGTATTATCATTTGTTACTAAACTGTACTTTACAAAAATGCAACTCTCTGTATCTAATTATATATATATATGTTTAATATTTTATAATAGTGTGATCTCTCTACTTTTTTGTATTTTTCCATGGTTTCTGATAAAAGGTCTCCAACGGCGGCGACTGATCCCAGCACCTTTGCCAGACACATCCTCTCTGGGCAGGAAGCCCAGCACCACAGGTCAGTGGGTGGACCTACCACCCCTGCCTGGGACTCTGAAGGAGCCCTTTGAGATCAAGGTCTATGAGATTGATGACGTTGAACGACTGCAGAGGCATCGACATGAAGATCCAACAGAGGTGAGCTGGCATTTCCTACAGACTGAGAGCTATCCAGAGTTACAGCATGCCTTTGACACAATGTGACAAACCAGCCATTTTCGTTGATTGTCACTACAGTTGGCAGTCACTTTCACAGTGTACGAGCACAATTTGACAATTCCTTGATTGTCAAAGCTTTCGCTCTATATTTTAAATATAGCTTAATATGTTGCTAGGATAATTAAAAAAAGTATTACTTTACCATATGTAATGCTAGTCCTTGCCCAACAATATTTGAACTGTAATCAAGCAAACAGAATGGTTTTGTTGAGAGAATACATTAGGTCTTCTTGCAATCACTTGGCTCTTGTTATAGAATACTGGGTGGATAAAATGTTTCGACTATTTCTGCCATCAGAATCCTAATGGAAAGAGCTTACATTCAAATAACTGTGAGTGCTACCTGCAGCCATATACTGGTTTGGGTGACTCTAAGAGAGAGTGCAATTGCTGTCTGTGAGTAATTAGCTTAGTTATAGTAGATTCGTGGGATAGTCAGGGTGTGAGATACATAAAACATAGAAATATGTTCTAGGATCTTGTGATAAAGCTTGCTGCTTGAACAAATTTTATGGTAATGTTTCCCTGGATCATTAAGTATTAAAAAAATGGGAGCTGTGAATTTGAAAAAAAATATTTATATGGTGGCATGATTTAATTGTAATTAGGACTAGATTATGTATTGTGCTTCCATGAAGAACCCAGAATGTCCTCCTCCGAGGTTTTATCAGGTGTTGCATTGGCCTATATTTCTCTGTAGCCCTTTGCCGCAACAGCTATGATGGCACATTTACCTTTTTCGCACATCAAGAATTACAGATGAAACATTATTTATAATTTTTTCCTCCTTGTGACTTTGCCTTCTCTCTTCTGTTTTTATCTGCAGCCATTCCAGGATGTTGAAAAGGTATGTTCGGAAACGTGTTGATATTCTAAAATAATTTCTTGCTGCGACAGACCTTGTTTTGACTGGGTCTTGGGATTTTACTAAAATTGAGAGAATATAGTCTAAAGTTAAGTTTTTTGGCATAGCCATTTTTCTAACACCAGTCCTTTCATTATGGATGAAAGTGCAGCTTTAAAGAACTGATGGCACTGTTCGTAAGAGTAGGGGTGTGTACTGTAATGTCATGGCAGCTAGTGTCAGAATTTGTCAATGTTAGATTCTACAGTGGAATTATGTACATAATCTGGCCTGTCTAAAGACCCCACTTCTCAAATGGTAAATCAGTTTGTCACTTCCCTGCTGTTTGATGGGGTTGCTGGCAAAAAGCAGTTCCCCTCCCAATATGTCACGTACATTGGGAATCTTTAGGATGAAAAGAACTATATCACTTCTGTTACTTTTGTATGAAATGAAGACTGATCTGGTATGTTCTTGATGAAGGCATATTGTGCAACAGGTCATTTGAGTGTGAGAAAGTATTCTCTTTTTTAGACAAATGCTTTAAGAATAAAACTAAGCATAAAAATGTAAGAGCTTCTTGATGATTTAATTAGGAATATACATTATGTATAACTAGCATATTGTTTAGTAATAATATTAGTATATATCTGGACTATGTGGTATATTGGAGCTTTTTTATCTTACTGTTATTAACTGTTTTATAAAATTAAGGTTACTATCTAGGACAAGGATAAGTCTAATATCTATTGTTCTTAATGTGTTTAGTATAAAACCATTTTATATTTAATCCTCCAAAGTTTTTTTTCTAAAGGCAAGAAACTAGGAATTAATATGAAGCTAGTTTAGCTAATTTAATGTGGAATTAAACAGTCTTATGTAGGAAGATCTATCTCTTTGGAGCTGCTGGCTTTCACTTAATTGGCTTTAATATAATAAGCTTTAATGCTCACAATGCTGTCTTCCTCTCGGATAATATGAAGCAACTGGGTAAAATTTAGCAGGCGTTGTTCCCCAAGTCCATATGGCTCCTGGTGTTTCCGCAGGGCCTGCTGTATTTCAACACCAAACTAAAGATGCTTGAGAGACGGCAGCAGCAGATCAGGGACGTGAAGGCAAAACACGAGATGTTGAAAGAAGAGCTGGAGAACACAAAGCAGAGGCTGATGATGGATCCTGGCAAGTGGATAGGAGAGTGTGAGTACATGCACATAGGCCTTTTCCTTCCATAACATTTCAAGAGCTATTGCCTAAAGACAAGTTTTAAATTACAGATATGATTTACTTCTTATTTTTTTATTCTCAACCTCTAATTTGTACTACAAAAATTAACTTAAAGGGCTGTATTGCTTCTGTATTGCAAAGGAGACAGCCTTTTGTGCGGTGTTTTGTGCTGGATTTATGAATGAGAAAGAATGCGATCAATGCTTTTTTAAAAAAAACAATCTGCATAGTACTGTTCAAAACGCCTTAAAGGGATGCCGCTGAATTTTATTATCTTGTAAAACAAGCATGAGGACGAAACAGGATTAAGTTTTAAATAGATTTTAATGTCAAAATGAAAAGTAGAAAAACAGTGTTCTGCTGTGGAGCTTTGTGTTTCTTTCTCTTTTTGCTTGTGGCCTTAATAACATTGTGGAATTTCCTTTGCGGCTTGCACACTGATGCAGCTTCCCATTTAAGTCTTTTACACAAGAGTATGCAAGAAACGTAATTTCCATGTTGGGAGCTGGATTCTTTCAGGAACTGTTGCATGACATGTCATTAAATTTAACAAACTTTGATCATTCGTTCATTTCACAAGCCCTGTAGCTCTTAAGAGAAGAACCCCTTTCCTTGTTATATGCATGGTATATCCATTTTTGTATGTTTCAGACATTTTTAATTATTTTGTTAAATCTGTAATTAAAATTGAGTTGTCATTTTCTACCATGGTTTCATGCTGTTTACATAATTTTCTCCCATCATTATACCCACATTAACATCAGGCAATATTTTTTGTTATATCACCTCAACACATTTGAGTAAAGAAGAGTGTTTGAGGTGTCTCTGTCTCTGGTTCCTTTCCTTTTTCTGTCTTGCAAATTAGTCAGCTACTTTTACTGGGAAAAGGGGGGAACACTCAAGCTGCAGCAAAGCCACGTATGGAAATGAAATCCCTCTAATACTTGAAAAAGTCAAGGCGGTAAAGGACTAAACCTGCTGTCTTCCAACCTTTGCATCACTCCCATTTACCAAATTAATATGGAATGTCAGACAAGTTACCAGCATTCAACTTTGCTTCAGTCAGATACATTTTGTGGGTACATTTAGACTGGTATATTATTGCAGTAAAGGAACAATTAAATGTAGTGTTTCTTTTCTTCTCTTTTCAGCATGGAATAAACTTTTACTTGTTCCTTTGCAGCCTACACATGCTGACACAGCTGCCTACTTGAACTATTTCATTGCACTAGATGCTTTAGAGGCTGTGCAGTGGCCCCCCTACTGTGAATATCCATAAAGATATGCCTTCACATAGTGGACACTTCTATTTCTCTCTTAACTATATTGTATACATAAGGAAAATCTGAGCCTAAACAAGTCTTGGAAATAAATACATCAAGACTATAAAATCAAGCAGCAAATCTGCTTAGACTTACACACTCACACTTATACCTGACAATATTGATGCCATATGTACCTTATATTCTATTGTGTAGCTGTATATTGTTCAAATGTAACAGCAGAGGAACAGCAATGGGGTGTGGCATAGAAAAATGTCATCCATATAACTCTTGAAGTTATCATCATCCCTGGATGGATTTCTGAAGGAAAGTTTTTTTAAAGGGAAACATCTTCATAGGCAAATGCTTCTTTTATCAGAAATTTATTTCAAATGACACTTACCATTCATGCAATTAAATATTGTATTAAAAAATTTAAATGATATGTATTTTGCGTTAATGCTATGATCAGTATAAAGCATTGTAGCCCACGTGAACTAAAAATATGCATTACACAAATTTTAGATAAGCAGCTATAGGGTTAAAAATACTGTGAACACCGTTTCAGATTTTCTTCTGGATCTTCAAAGTAGAATAAAACAATTCATGTGTCGTGGTACAATTGCAGCATTGTATGAATGTTGCAATTGATAGGGCTTTGTATGTCAAATTCTCTTCTTGATGTTAAGCTGTCAACACTTATAATATCAATACTAATATGTGCCATTACTGTCATGGCAAATACTGATTTGAGTGCATCATTTCATTAAACAGCTTTTAAATGCATTTGAACTTTGCAGTAAACTGTGAAGTACACACTTGTCTGTAGAATAGATTGTAATGCCAAGAAACAGTACAAGTGGGGAGGTCTTTTGAAGTAATGAATGAATTGAGTGCCAATGAAAAGAAACTACTTAAATCTGAGTCAAGACAGGGGTGCCCTAAGGTCATTCTTAGAGCTCCAAGTTTGCAGAGCAGATAATTTTAGACTTTCTTCAAAAAATGACATTATAAAGTTACCAGTAAGCTACAAAATGTTATTTCTTTTAAATTTTAAGTCAGGTCTAGGTCTTTGCAAATTACAATAAGTGGAATTACCCTGCAAAGCCCCACATTTGATCTTAAAATCTTAATGGATTATTCTATATACCTTTTTTAATGAGAATTTAAAATATACACAATGCATGGTATGATGGCTGACATCTTGAGCTTGACAGTAATTCTAAAAAATGTGTCTGCAAACCAGCAAAATAATTTAAGACTTACAGGACCATAAAACTGCATCAGGATTATGAACTCGATAACCCTAATGCTTATGTAAATATTAGGTGTATCTGAATCAAAAATGGCAAAACTTGGAAATTTATTGGGATCTTACTTAAACTCTGAAGAGCAGTAGTTACTAAATATATACATATGTAGCAATCTGTAATGATTTCAGACAAATAAAGCAAGGTTATGCAGACAAGTTGTCTTCTGATCATGGCTGCAGTGACTACAAGACGATTTTGATTTAATAAATATGGCAAATTAGAATTTTAACAAATTTGGATTTAAATATATATTATATAAGAAATTTGACCATATCCAAATATGAGAATATCAAATCACAGGTACATGCTTAATAGGCTTAATACATTAATTGACACGTTCAGTGAAATTAAGGAAGACCCAGAACCCCGAATACGGAGAAATAAGGTTCTGCCATCAGTGGTGAAATTCTCTGCAGTCTACATTTTCTTGCATCAGACCTTTCTCAGGGCAAGGTCCAGTGGCTTCAGTCCTTATATTGTAGAGTGCTGATGGTGGAAAAGAGTTCCAGAGATTCCAATGTTACTGTGTATAGATTGTCCAGGGTCTTTCGACCCTGACTTTTTAAGTGATTTTCTTCCTTGTGCTTCCAAATATAATGCCTTTTTAAATTTCCTCTAAAGCTCTCTTACTAAGTCCAACTGAATGTGCTTTTTGTAAAACTATATTCCGTGTTTTATTCTGTTGACCTGGTGAAAAATTACTTGTAGCACACCCTGCTTAAAAATAATTCTAGTTCTATGTTGGAAAATTTCATATTTTGCTTCCCAGTGTTCTTTTGGAGTGTCCATTGTTTTCTGGAGCATGTGGACATGCAAGGTTGACTCAAACCAGCAATTTATTGTGCAAGACATGTAATTCACTGCTAATTGCAGTAAGTGGTATTTATAATTTGTACATTGGTTGTCTGCAGAATTACCTGTTTTTCAATTACCATTTGAAAATCTGTCATTAGTTTGATGCTGTGTTTGCTTGTACTAAGCATGCACATTGTGTGTCATTTTCTGGCCATTTTTTTCTTTAGAATTTTCTGCCTAAATCCCATGTTGGTGTCATGTTTCTGACTTTAACAGTAGAACTGTAGGATTTAACAGTGAAATTTTATATGTGCTTCCTATATATGCTTGCTTAAAATTTGGAGTATTCTAGTGAATATCAAGCCATCTGAACATTAGAACTGTTTTTAAATAAATGGGGATTATTAATGATTAGAATTGAAAATATTACAGCTATGACTACTGCTTGTCGGTTCAAAATGGACCCATTGTCTACTTCCAGGTAGAATACCAATGAGGTTGTGCTTGGTAATTACTAATGAGAAATACATTTATAAGATAATTGAAAGTTGGAAAGCCAAAGCAGGGACGTCTGATTAAAACTTGCACTGTATACATTACTCCAGTCCTACCTTATATTACATAATTGTTTTATTTCTATAATGGAAGCATAAACCTTTCAGTTTCTTATAATATATCCAGCATTTCTGTAAATTGGAACTTGCAAAAAAAGAAAATGTTTATCTATGAGGCCGAGGCCTAAGAACACAAAGTTCAGTCTGCCATGTCTTCATGCATTCACTCAAAAGAACTGAAAAATATGCATTTTTTAATTAAAATCTTTAGTTTGTCTGAAAATCAATAGTGTTATTTTCACGCAGAAAGCTCTGGGGGTAAATACTGGATTATTTGTGCTTAGTCTTTTGTGTAATTGTATGTGGAAATGATTTAAAGTGCTTTCTCACATTTCTGCCAGACAGGACATTTACTCTTCATCTGTTCCTCTTGTCAAGATGAAACCCATGATCAAAACAGACACTCTATATAAATCGCCTTTCTTTCCACAATGTGATTCAAAGGGCAGTGCGCCTTAAAGGGATCATCGATGGAACCTATTTCCACAACTTTCAAGGTCTTTGTGACCCATATAGGTTGCGCCTTATAGCTTTTTTTAATATCAGTCTTGAACGGACCACAATTTCAGACTCGTAATGCCACAAGAGAGAGTACAGGCATCTTGATTGGGCTTTGTGCATAAAGCAAAATTGTGGACTGGCTTATGCTTGGTTTTCCTTTAGTCTTTTGAGAATCTTATTCAGTAATTTTATATTGAAAATGTCACTCATAATTTAGTTTCAAAACACTCACAAAGGAAAATGTCTTCTTTTGCAGCCTTTTAAGTTTACATGCAGTATTACAGTGCATTTCATGCAAACCATAAAATTCAGGAGACTATTCTGATCTCTGTTGGATGCATTTTTGTAACTCGTGTCTCACTTTTATCTTGCAGTTGAGGTTGATCCGGACCTAGATAAGGAATCACAGGAGTATTTGGAAGCCCTGGAACAAGTCACGGATGAGTTGGAATACTGTGTCAACCTATGCAAGTCACGAGTCATGATGGTGACCTGTTTCGACATCGGGGTGGTCTCCAATGTGCAAGACGGTCCGCGGGAAGTGGAGGTGTGAAAGGATGAATTGAACAAGTGGAAAAGAAAGGAACCGGAATGGTGCCAACCAGGAAGAAAAGAAGCAAGCAGTGAGCCCCCAGCCCATATGAAAGTTAACAAAAACACAAATGCTTAGAGGGTCTTGATTTGGAGGTAATGGCGTTTTTTCCGATTAAGGAAATCTGGTGCCTCATACCCTTAAACTAATTTGGATGGAGTGTGACTCATCAAGCCGCAAAGCTTTTCTGTTTACTGCATGGCAAGCAAGAAGCGCAACACAAAACAAAGAAGATACATTCAATGAGACCTGAAAGTGCCTTTTTTTCTTAAAGACTGATTTTAAGTACATATTTTTTTGGTATTGGTGCTAGTATTTAAAACCAGCATACCTAAGCAACCCCTAAACATATTCCTATTGGAAAAAAAGCTTATTTTATATTGTATTGTATAGTGTATTTATATGATTATACAGTATGAAAAAAAATATCATTTTAGGTTAAAAAAAGCATAAAGAAAAAATAGAAGCAATAAGATAAACATTATTGCATCTCAGACTTTGCCTTTTCTCATTTAAAAACCTCAGTCAAATTATGTCCATTATCATTAAACCTTTCAAAAGTAAGGTTTCTTTTTTATATATTGTTGTTAATTTTGTAAGGAGTTTCACACTTACAGAGGCGGATCTTTCTGCACTGGTTTGTTGTTGTCACAATTCCAGTTACTGTCAGAGTGAAATAATAGCTGCCTATTTGCAAATCTCTTTGGTACAGAACTGTTGAATACAATGTTTTCCTTTCTCTCAGTTGCCTTGAACATAACTTCCAACAGACCTTAATTACAGTGGGAAAAGATGCTGTTTTGAAGACCCTGCAGTCTTGTTTAAGATCCATCTGTGGAAGTCCGTTAATCTCCACCAGAGCCTTCTTTACAGTGTGCATCACAATAGGAGGCTGTTTGATTCATGATGTGACAAGACACTGTGTTGGGAAAAAGTACACTTTGAAGTCACCCTGAAATATATCTTTATAAATATTTTATTTGCATGATGTACTGCTAAATTCTACAGGGCTGCCAGGATATAACTTTGCTTGGAAGCATACAGAAATTTTACTAGTATATCTTGATAACCATATAAGTCACACTACGAAACAGTGGAATTTATGCCTTTAACTTACTGCAGTGAGTTAACAAGGGTACAGATGAGATACAACCAGAATTGCAAGTCTAAGCCCATGGTGGTGGTTTACTGCACTGAAGTGCTGTTTTGCTCTATGCACTCCATCACTCTTGCTCCTTGTAAGAACCTCAAAACTGATAGGGAAAGCACAGTTTTTTGTGTGTCAGTCATGCCCAGCAAAAGCAGCTGCTGGCTTCTGGCCAAAGTAAAGTGTCAGAGCATGAGCTTGGCTTTTTCTTCTGACTGTTTTTTTTTAAAGCTCAATTGCTGCCTATAGTTCTGAACAGGTAAGTACATTTTGTACTGCCTCTTCTGCTAAAGTTAGCCTCAGAACAGCTGTGGCATGTTTTGATAACTGGCAGTTTTCTGTCTGACTTTACAGTGACAAGGGCATGCCAGTAATTACTGCCGGAATTTAAGTGTTTGAGTGCAACAATTCAATTGGAACTCTCATGTACTGGCTTCTCAAACTAAGGGGAAAAATCATTTCAGAATTTTCTGCAAAATGTAGCTGCCAGTACATTTTTTTTCTACAATAAAACGTTTTCAGACATTTAGGTTATGAACCAATTTGTGATATCCAGTGGATTATTACAAAGCTTGATTTTGTCCTGTTAAACGTTCCTGATATGTTTTTGTTTTTTGTTTTAAGGAAATATCTCTCAGGCCCTTTCTTAAGATGCTGCATGAGATTATTTTTAATTATTATTGTGTTTTTTTTTTTAAATTGAAGCCCAGTTCTTTTCTATTGTGTTTAATAACATGAACTGACAATTTGCCAAACTGAAGATTTCTTTAATTTAGCAATGTATGTGATGTCACATTTCATATCAAATCATATTTTCTAATGTGGTAATTTGTTTTTGTATAGGGTTTTCAGATCCTTTGTATAAATGTATATTATGGCATCTTGCATCGGCTTTTATTTGTGAATAAAAAATATGTTTCTTCTTATTACTGTGTTCTTTGAAGCATATTATTAAGAAAGGTCTCATAGGAGGGAAGGCCCATCTTACTCTCTCTGTTGCTGGTAGCCAATTGATCCATTGGTCGGTTAGCAATTTATTTAATGATTTCTTCAAATAATTGAATTGTCTTTAACAATATGCCTGGAGAGTTTGTTCCACACACCTCCAACCCTTTGTAGAAAGAAGCAATTCCTGTTTTTCCATTGTAAATGCACTACCCCTTAATTTCCATATTTCTGTGTTTCATTGTGAATCCTGGACTAGATTAACGTTTTCGACGCGTTTCAGGGTTTTGAAAACGTCTGACCCAGTACAATCTCTGTTTAAGAGTGAATTTTTCAGTTTTTAATGTTGTTGTCAGGTACTTCAGAATTTTCAGATCATCTGTATTCCCTTTTTATTTTGTTTCTTATTGCATATTGTTATAAGGCTGTTGGTGCAAGAGCTAGATGTGATGGGCCAAGCAAACGTGCAGTATTACCATATGAAATGTCTAGGCCTGTAGATCCATGGTTTGGCCGGATCAAGCTTGGTCTTCAGTTGCACAAGTGATCTTGGCAGTATTCTATTTCGGGTTAGTGAAGAGATATAGGGCACTGAGCAATAGCAAATATGCTCTTCTTAAAGAGGGTTTCAGTACATTCAAATACCAAGCACAGTGATAACACAGCTCTGAGTCATGGGCCAAAATGAGTTCTGGACCTCAGTATCTTAAACACATACATAACTGCCAAATCAAAAGTATCTGCTCTTAACTTAAACATGTTTTAAACAACTCTTGTTCTTTTTAGATTTATTAGATTTATATAATTTATTTAAATAACTGTGCTTGCACATTGTTTCTTTTAAATGGTTGCTCAGAACTCTCTGGGGTTTGTTCAAAGAAAGCTGTGAAAATGGTATTGTGTAAAAAAAAGCAAAAAATGAAAGTCTTTCATTCCATAATTAAAAAAAAAACTGGTTTAAAAGTAAAATGATAGTAAACACATCATGCCTTGACAAAGCATATTTTATATTTCTAATGCATTATTTTCCCTTGTTAAGGCCTTGATAATCCATGTTAATGTTTTCTTTCAGAAGATATACTATCCGGTAAAGTCAACACACTTTAGTTTGCAATTGAAACCAGAGCAGCACAGAAAACCCACACAAACATGGGGAAAACACAAGAGGCGAACATTCAGTCATTCTAGCACTTTTGATTTTTAGAAGCTGTCCAGTCTGGAATCAAATCCACATGCAATGTCTTATTTTATGAATGCAGCAATTATGTAATTTATTATTTCACTTTCATAACCCTTTTTTTATTATAAGATGGAATGTTTTATACGACACCCTTAAATGTGAGAGCCTATCGGTCAATATATAGTACTGTCTGAAAAATAGGCTATTCATCAAGCAGTCTTGGACTTTTTTTAAAACTAAATAACAGTTCTTCTAGAGTAGTGATGGTGCAATCTGTACATTTTTGCATCAGAGGAGATGTACAGTGAAGTCTGCCAAACAACATTCCTAATAGCAAATAGTCAAATGATGGCAGAAGTCCTTTGGATATACAGTATTTCCTGAGGTGATATGATCACTTCTTGAGATTTTGTACAGTACCAATGAAGTAGCAAGCTAATAATATATAATGTTACCACAAAGAATAACATACAGCAGCTTTATCCTAAAATCTAGAGGGAACTGTTTTAAAGTCTTAATTCAATTGCTGTGCATATGGGAGCAATGAAATCAGAGTATTTTTTCAATGACTTTTTTTACTGCACCAGATTCTGTTGTACTGTTTAGCTATTTTGTTTGGATGTTCACCCATGTTTTCTTTTCAGTTCTGTGCCACAGCTTCTAATGCGTCTAAACTTGTCAAACTTACATTTCAGTCAATACATCTGTTTTTATTGGAACTGCTTTGTAGAATCATTTCCAGCCTTTTCTTTCTCTCTAGGTGTACCATGAAAGAAATCCGGAACTTTAACAAGATAATTAAAATGTCCAGCCTGCTGGAAGCATTAAAATTTAGGATCAGTATACATATGCTGTATACATAATATCCTGCTGCTCCAGTAATTGGTATTGAAGTCTTGTGCACAGCTAGCATGCTAATGGTATATAGCTGCAGACTAGCACTGATAGGAACCAGTAAAGTGCAACTGCAGTAATTCACACACTCACAATCACACACCCTCTGAGAATGAAGTCTGCAGCATTCTCAACACCTTAAATTAAACAAGAAGGGAGGTGTACGTAATTTTGAAATAATTGGTTAAATTCCCATTGAGAAAAATACATTGTACATTCTGTTAAGGTTCTGCAGGTTACAGAAACGATGGCTTTCTGTGATGATCAACATCTTAATTTTTCCCCCTTTTCAATAGAGTGCATAGTTAGATTTTTTGTGCTTAAATTCCCTTATTTGTGAACAAATCTTAAAAATGTTTCAATATAAAAAGGTTAGGAAGGACAGTGTGTAGTTTCCCTATTAAGTGCATATATATGTGCAGTTTTTGAACTTAGCAGATAGATTGAATGTTTTAATAATGGGAAAAAAATGTACCAGGTCATATCTGCAAAATTGAAGTGATTGGATTAGAAATGGATGCTCACTTTTTATATCATGAAGCTCACTTTTGAAAATGTGGTCATTGGGTGGCACTGCTCTGGGTCACATAATACAATTCACTCATTCCTCACATACCATTTATTTAATTTGATTAAAAGCATCATAAGATGATTTGGCTGAATGGCAGGAGCAGCTGGCAGTCACGGTACTAATCAAATATGCAGACAGATTTAGAAACTCAGGAGCTCTACACACTTTGACTCCTCAGTGGGAAGAAGGGTGTTCTAAGAAGATTCTAGCTAGCTCTTTAGTTGTTGATAATAAACATATTATTGTCATTTTTTTCTTATTTAGTGTTTGTATGCTTTTATTTCTCCATAAAAATGAAATTCATATCACTAGACTTAAAAAAAATAAAAATGTAACATAAAAGGTGCTGCCAAATATACAGTATAGTATCTACTGTTACAGCAGAATGGCTTGGCAGGATATTTGTTCTTTCTCTTAACCCCAAAAAGCTGACAATATTCCCGTTATTTATTTAGGTTAAAGACACAATACACACAGCTTGGTTTCATCACTCTCATTAAATATATGTTTAGTTCTCAGTAGGGCGTAGTGCCACTAAGTATAAGTGAACTATTTTCAGTCAAAATCTATTTAGTGCTATGCAGTTGTTTTCTTCTAATGAGAAGGTATTTTAACTCCTAGAAACAGTTACCTGACAGCTTAACATCAATGCCTTTGATGTTTAAGGAGTGCTCTAGTTTGTCTGAGTCCAAATTCATATGTCAAAGCAATATTCCAATGTCATGCTATTACCAATGAAGACGAAAGAATATGACACCATTCCAGTTTCACAACAAATGCCCAAAACTCTTGCAGAAGATATTTACATTTCAGATATTTAACTCTGGGCTAATCTTGATGTGGTCACTGAACTCATAGCTTATTTATTAGAATTTACAACAGTCAATTTAAGAATATAGTTTTTTATATTGTGCTAGGTGATAGAGAAACCTTTGAGTTAAAATTACATAAAATTAAACTCTTCTGGAGATAAGGTGTCTCTCACTTCAGTGTGGAGCACAAAAGTGTAGTTATTTATTCCCCCTAACTGTCAAAATGTCCCAGTTACAACATTTAATTGAGGGCTGGAGTTGGGGATGACAGGCTATTCTATCAAAAAGAAGCATCACTAGAGTCCTCTTTCTATTTACCCATGATGCAATATAAAAACATTGCAAGTCTCAGAAGTAAAAAGGATAAAAGCTGTCTGTGGATATTCAGGCATGATTGCATATTTTTGGGGTTTTGGACAGTTGTACATGCTAGCATCAAGTAGTGACTGTCATGCATTGACATCATCTTTATTTTAAAAACTGTTGGTAAACAACACTAAGATAAATTATAAAGATTACGTTTAGTCATTTACTAGAAGATGTACCTTAATATACAACCTATTTGTAGTATTTTAACCCAGTTCATGACAAAGGGGTCTTTGTCAATTGAAAACATTTCAAGAATAATTTATAGCATTTCCTGTATACAGTCCTTATGTTGCTCTTTTCATTTACATGCTGGTATGCATATTGTACAATGCAGAGTAAAAAGGGGTTACACCAGTAGCGTTTTGCTCATCAAAATAGATGGCAAAAAAGATTGTAAGTTATTAACTTGTGACAGACTGAATTTCACTTGGCTCTTTTGTGAATTACATACTGCCTTTATTTGCAACTAATTAAGCTACACCTACATTTAATTACCAAGGTAATTAACCATGACCCTGATACTTCATCCATCATCCATCCACTTTGTAACAGCTTTATGAAATACAGAGTTGCACTGGACCCAGAGCCTATCCCAGCAAGCATCAGGAACAGGTCAGGTACATCCTGGGTGGAATGCTGGTCCATCAAAGAGCTCCAATACACACACCATGGCCAGTATGTCCAGAAGCCAATTAACGTAACATAATTTTTTTGGAGACTGTGGGAGGAAACTCACACAATAATGAGGAGAACATATGGTATAAACTAGTAACTGAACCCAGGGCTGCAAGGCAGCAATGTTAATCACTGGGCCACCATTCTGTCCAACTGTCTTGTATATGCATGAAGAGTTTTAATACCTGCAACTAAAAATATATTATGAATGGGGGGTTACGAAACTTGTGGATATCAGAAATTGACCAAGCTATTTAGTCAATATGTAAAATATTCATAACCCCCAACTTGTAAGTAATTTCTCCAGAATTTACCTGAGTGGTTGGTATAATTGGGGTCACGTGAATTCTTTGTTCTCTGACACAGCTTTTATGAAAAGAATAATAATCCTGGCGTACTCGGTTAAACAAATATTTATATGGCCAGCAGCCAAATCACCCTGCAACTCACA